GGAGTTTAATTTCACCAGCCATTTCGCACTGCTGATGACAGCCTCAAGAACACCTGGCAGTGCGCTTACCTGGGGGGAGCTGCCATTTGCATGGCCAGATCTTCCTCCTGGACTTCCTCCAAGTCAGGGATCACGGGAATGTCTGCAACAAGAGAAAGCAGCAGCTGTAAGTGGGGAGTGTTATGCTCTCCTCTCGCTAGAGACAAAGGTTCCCTTGCTTCACAGATATGAAACAGCCTGTTTCTTAGTAGAGGAAAACACGAGAGAGTTATTTAGCAGTGATTAAAAATATATTGTTTAATATTAAAACAAGGCAATAAAGCTTTGAAGCTTGGGGTCAAAAGAAATCTTGCAAGAGGAGCAGATTTGGTCTGGCTAGGACTCCATAGCCATGCAACATGCATTTGAACACAACCCTGAAGCTGAAAGAAGCTGGCTGCACTAAACCCTGCTGCCTACTTGCCGTCATCCTAAGACTGGCAAGAATTTGCTTCTTATGAGATGTGTTCTCATTTGCTCAGCTCAGCCACCAGTCACCTAGACTCTGTTAGAAATGAAATGTGGGGCAGAACTGAGAGAAGCCATGTAAAACTACATGCTGAAGGAGCTGCTGGCTGGGTCTCAGACTGTGCAGAGGCCTGTGACCTTTCCTGATAGCTGAGGAAGGAAGCGCTGGTGTCTAGCAGATACAAAGACTAGGGAAGATGCACCTAGTTGTAATGTCATAAACCTTTTTGTGATTTCTAGCATGACCCTGGAATGGCTGATGTCTGGGTCACTGGGTATTCCCAGCACAAGGACTACGGCTACTCCACCTAAAAAGGGACGCTAGAGAAAAAAGAATGGAGGAGAGGAGGAAGAACTGGGTGCACACTGAATCCTGCTAAAAGAGCAAGGCTCTGAAAGCATTGCATGCATTTTGATTTGATGAAGTCCTGTAAACAGTTGGAGACTGAAAGCGCAAAAACGGAGAGAGAAGAGGTAACTGGAGGCACAAAGCAAGGACAGAGTACACCAGCACAGAGCTCCTTTAAAGATTCAAGGCCACAAAGGCTCTCCAGAGACCCTGAGCCCTCAGACTGTGGAGAAGCTGGTGGTTTGGCTGTGGGAAGAGGTTTCACTCGCACAGTGTGCAGATGCTGGAGCAAGAAGGCTGCTCCCGGCTCTGTCAGCAGCATGGCCACGCTACTGCTGGATGGCAGCAGGTGGCTGGGCCTGGCTTTGCCCTGTTTTGCAGCCCAAACCAAGATGAATATTCAGGAGCTGGAGAGACGTTCCCACCTGTGGCGCTCAGGGCTCCGGGCAGGGTCTTTCTGAAAAGCCGCTTGCCTAGTTGCCTGTCAGAGCTTCGCAGGCTCTCAGCTGCTCTCTCCCGCTGAACGTCCACTGCGCATCCCCCCGGCTCGCAGGC